GGATTGGGTTAAACTGCACAACTATATTTATATTAAAAACATCACTGATATGAAAAGATTTGAAACAAAATGCTCCTCCAAAATCTATACCTATCACATTTCTTAAAAATATATTTTTTAACTACCAAAATTTATTTTCCTTACAATTTTAGTATGTGGCACTTGGAATGTAGCTAAATCTGACAAATCAACACATGCAATGTTAAAAACTACTGAATATTGAAAACATGAAAGTTAGTCAGAAAAATAGTAATAATTGATTATATATTCACCATATATTAAAATTATTGAAACATTTAGATTTTTTTGTGGAAATCTAGGTATACTTACCCATTTTAAGAACGATTATACAGCCATAAAGAAGGACAAACATTGGACTTCGCAGCAACTAGGGTGGAATTACTGTCTGTAATACTCAGTGATCTATCACAGAAGCAAAGAACAGAGTACCACATGTTCTCACTCATAAGCGGACCCTGAACATTAACCATAATACTAAAAGAACAGGATACTGCTGAAGTGAGGGGAGGAGACACAACATCAATAAGGGTACCTGATCTCAAACCAGGCAAAGTGGGGACCAAAAGGAGGCTCAAACTTTACCTGTACGATGTCCACTTGTATACCTAATCCTGAATTGTACCCCACATCTTTAAAATAAAATATAAAGAAAAAAATGTTATACTAAGAAAAATAACTTAAAGCTATTTTCTACCCAAACCTTAAAGCATTCAGTTTGTTTCAGGCAAACATGGATATCATATTAAGGTAGTGATGAAGATTTAAGAGACCAATTGCCTTTTATGTCTTTGTATCCAGGTTCAAAAAAACTAATAACACTTGGTTTCTACCCACAAGTTTCTTACCTCTTGGCAGGAATGATGAACATGTATAGACCCAATTAAATGTAAGAACTTCTCTACTAATGGTGCATTCTCCTAAAAAGACCTGCAATGATCTCCCAGACAGGGTGAATTTAGTTCTAACTTTGAAGGATAAGTAGAAATTTGGAAGATATGGAAGAAAAATAACTCCAGGTAGAGAAAATGGAATAAACAAAGTACAGAGCCATGAAAATACTGGGAAATGTTCTGTACAAAGATGATGGGGAATTATGCCAAAAAGGTCGTTTGAGACAAGATTGTGAAGGTTCATGAATTCCATTCCAAGAAATTTTTAATTTGTACTATAGAAAATGGGGAACCATGTGAGGTTTTTAAATATTGCAATGACCAAATATCTTCTAAGTTTTGACAGCTAATGCCAAAATCATCATGAAGGATGAATTCACGAGTGAAAACGTGAGGGTACCAACCAGCCAGATATTGATCCCCTGTTCTTCACCATTTACTCCCTGTTGTTCTCCAGAAACAGTCTTTAGTTGCCAAATGGGTCCATAAAAACAGATGAAAACTTTAAGGCCCTACACTTCAATAACTGGACTTTTCTTCTATTTTCTTACAAAAGAGTATGTCCAAATAATTATATGAGTCTCTTTAGATATTGAGGACAAATAAGATAATTGTTTTTTCAATTCAGCAAATTTGGAGACCAACTATATACAAATTGTGTGGAGAATATACATTATTCATTCAATTAACTCTTATTGAGGAACTACCATGTTCTAAATAATCTGCTAGTTGGTAATACAACAAAGAACTAAAGTCATAGTTTCATATGTCTTGGAGCTTACATTTCAGGAAGAAATTAAAATATTAACTTATCATCCACAGAAATAAGTACACAATTATACAATTTTGTAAATGCCATAAAAATTTCAGAAGAATCTAATTATAATCATAAATAGGAATAAGATACTATCCCCATCCTTAGATACAAGTCCTCTATCAGATATGTGATTTGCAAATATTTTTTCCAGGACATGGGCTTGTTTTTTATTTTCTCAATAATATCTTTCATGGAGCATATGTTTGTTATTTTCGTGAAGTCCAACTTATCAATTTTCCATTTCATGGATGTGTTAGTGTTGCATCTAAAAACTTATTTTCAAACCCAAGATTGTCTAGATTTTCTTCTATATTATCTTCTAGGAGTATTACAGTTTTACATTTTACATTTAGTTCTGTGATTCATTTTGAGTTAATATTTATGAAAAGTGTAAAGTCTTGAGTCATTTTTTTTTTTTTTTTGCATGTGGATACCCAATAGTTCTTGTATAATGTGTTGAAAAGATATTCATATGCTAGGAAATGTACAATTTAGTAAAATGAACAAGATCAGTACACAAATCAGTGACTGGAATGACTTAACTAAAATAATTGTCCTGAAGGATGTATAGAATTGTGCTGAAAAGTTTAAAAGAGTGGCGTTTGAGGAGGACTGTGAAAGTGAATAAAGTTTCTTCATACTGTTGGGGCTGAAAAGAAAATAACAAAAGCAAAAGGACAAAAGAAGAAAGCACAAGGGATGTACAGTATTAGAAACAGGAACAAATCCAATTAAGCTAAACTATAAAAAGCTTTTGTGGCAAATACACTAGAAAGACAGATTGGACAATATTACAGAAGGTCTTGAGTGGCAAAACAAGGAATTTTCTTTATTTGGTCACTCAACAAATATTTATTGAGGGCCTACTACATGCCATACATTTTTATAGGTGCTGGGCACACAGCAGTGAACAATACAGGTACTCTGTGTCACTATTAAAATCGAATCTAGATTGTCATTAGATTAATGGAAGAAGACAGGCAATAAACTAGAATATATAAGAGGTTGAGGGAGGACAATTTGGGGAAAAGATAATTGATAAAATTAGAGCAGAAAAGGAGTGATAAGAATTTCTGATAAGAAGTTACTAACTGACTTGGGTTCCCTAGGAAAGGATTCTGATCAGTATAATATTAAAAGAGGCCCATATAAGTGAGAGGGAATTTTGCAGATATCAGAGATAAATGTATCCCAGTCAGAGGGAACAGTAAGTAAAAAGGCTGTGAGGGAGAAGCAGACTTAACATGTTCAAGAAACAAGGAAGCCAGTGTGGATGAAAAGAATTGAGTAGGATGGGTATTGGAAAGAGATTATGTTAGAGAAATAGTAGGGGTATTGGGGCGGGAGCAGATGCACAAATCATATAGGGACTTGGAGGCCATGGCAAAGCTCTGAATATTGCTTTGAGTAATAATGGGACAATCAGGAACCTTGAGCAGAGTAGTTATGTGATCTGACTTATTTGTTTCTGGCTGCAGTATTGAAGGTCAAGGAAACAGCAGGGAGACCACTTGGAGGGCTATTGCAGTAGAAAGATGGTGGTGGGGGAATGGTGGTGAGAAGTATAGTTTGATAATAGAGCTGATCATCAAACTAGGCATACTAGGTAAACTATACCTAGTTTAGTGATAGAGCTGATGGGCTTTGTATAATATATAGATTGCATGAGTGGTGTGAGAAACAATAAAACCAAGAATATCTCTAAGATTTTTGTCTTGAACAATCAGAAGAACAGAGTCATCACTGGCTGAGATATGGAATCAAGGGGAAGGAGCAGGTTTGGGGCCAGGATGTTTAGGAGTGTGATTTGGGATATGTTAAATCTGCCTGTTAGACTTCCAAGTGAAGCATCCAACAAGCAGTTGGATGTACAAGTCTAGAGTTTAGCAGTTTATCATTGTATGAGTGGTATTTAAAGCTATGAAATAAGGAAGTGAATGTAGAGAAGAAATAGCTCCAAGAACTGAAATTTAGGAGACCTCAAAATGTGACAGTTAGAAAGATGAGTAGGAACCAGAAAAAGGTAATCAGATGGAAATACCAATAAGGTAAGGAAGAAAGTCAAGAGAAATGTAGAGGAATCCTAGGCAAACATATTCAAGAAGGTTCAGTTTGTTAAATGCTGCCAGTAGGTTAGGGAACTTAAAAATTGACCATTAGATTTAGCAATGTGAAGGTCATTAGTGTCCTTGACGACTTTAAATCTGCTTTCATGGAATGTGGAGATGAAAGCATGAAGAAACTAAGAGTTGGTAATTCTTTAAGAGATTTTGATTATAATGCAAAGAAATGGAATAGAAGATGGAGGAAATTGTAAGTTGGAAAAGGCAGTTTGTTGTTTGTGAGATGGGTGATAAGATAGCTGGAAGGGAAATGAATGATGTAGGAATGAGAGAAGCAGCAATAGAAGTGATATCCTTTGGTAAGTGAGAAGGAATGGAAGCCATTGCACATAAGAAGCTGTTGGCTTTAGGTAGGGCAAGGGCAATTTATTAACAGACTTAATTTTCTTAGCAATGAGAAACCATCAAAGGTTTCTGAGTGTATGATTCTTAATAACCCTCATAATGTATTTATTCTTTCTCCTTTTGTAAATGGGCAAATCCAGATATTCGAATGTCTGTTCAAAAATAAGATAAAAAATACAGATCTTCTCAAAATAAAATGAATGTCCAGAAAAATTTAAACAAACCATTGTGTTTATCTCAGCAACTTCTCCAGCTTTCGTGTTAAATCAAGATCCTTATGCTATTTTTGAAAGTTGCTGAAGTGTTATACTTTGAAAATAAACTTTCTAGTACACAAAATCTATTTTCCACACATATTTAACCTTTTGAAAATTCCTAATGTGATTTTTTTTGTATTCCTGTTAAAATTTGCTGGATAATAACTTAAAATTGCCTTAACCACCAGTGGTCTAACACTACCTCCAACAAAACTGGAAATCGAATGAATTTAAATCTTTCAGACTTATCACTTGTAATAGATTAAATAATACATATGAATTTAGAGAAAACTTTAAAGCAACTTATATATAGGATCACTCTTGTTTATGGACTCTTAATTATCCATAAGTTTTATATGTTGCATTTTTCCAATTGACATAATTTTTAAAAATAGCCAAGTTCAAATATATTAAGATATTTTCTGATAAGTTATCACTTAATTTAGTTAACAGCTTCATAGAGGTTTTTCAGTCTCGTATTAACTAAAGCTTACTTCCACTATAGTCAGTAATAAGTTCTTAAATCAGAAAGCATTTCTCTCCACAGACATGAACGTATTCATACCAAGAAAGGTAACTTCAACAGATCTCTAATAATTTCCAGTCTGAAGAATGTTGATGATTTAGCAACTCTAGAAGTTTTGGATGAGGTAAGAATTCGGTTTAATTAAACTTAGACACTAGATTTTTTAAAAATTAAAGAAGATGTGGGCAGGAGTTTTACTGAATGACATCTGTAAGTCTCATGCCCTCTTTGTCGCTTAGCTTTATCTCTCCTGTCTTCAGTTTTAATACCTATGACTCAAATTTCTAAATCTTTCCAACTGTGTCAGTTTTATTTTTTTATTTTTGGTGCTCAAACTAACAAAAGTGTGAGGTCTCCCAGCATGAAATGTTAAGTCACAGATCTTTCTTCTCCTTAATTATTTATAGAAGTCTCAAAGGTATGATTTGCTATGTTGAAAAAACAGTCTGCCTCCTACAACCAATGTATCATTCTTCTCTTTTATTTTCTCCTGCTCCAGCTCTAGCCGTACCCAAAAGCCTCTATGATTCCTCAAGAGCCTTTTGGGTACCACAATCAATATTTCCCCTTGTGGTATCTCAAAGCCCTTGCTCTCACACAGCTTTCTTTTAGGGCATCAGATTCTTCTTGGAACTCCTTATTCTAATTACCTTAGTGTCGGGGTCCAGCCCAACCTGAGGGGAGTTGGACCCACTCCAGGGAATCAGGACGGCAAGAAGAAACCACTCGGAGGCAGTTCTTCTGGGATCAGTCTGATCAGGACTGAGTCCAAATTTTATTCAAACTTCTTCCACCTTATATACCATTTTCTATAACCTCCAGCAGGATGACAAATACCTGCTGGGGGCTTATAGGTCTCATGATGCATAACGTACTTCACAAAAGATTTTTGCTTAAGGTAACAATTAACAACCAAAATTCCATGATGCATATCGTGCTTCACAAAGCTTATATCAAGATAAGGAGTGTATGATTTCAGTAATAGTTTTGCTGTTTTCTATAATATTTAATGATTAATCTGTATATTATAAACTATTCTTATTTTTACCTAATGTAAAATTTCCTATTAATTTTCCATGATTTAACAAAACACTCAAAATCTATACTATTTATTTTAATGTCCAACAGTAAAAAATATTTCTGTCAGGGACACTGGTGCCAGAGCCCTCTATGAAATGCTAAATAGTGAGAAGCAGAGAACGCTAACCACAGTGTTTGACAAACCCAATGTGTACTTTACCATTGAAGTCTGCCGGACACTGAAGTCAACACCTTAAAGCAGAAATCCAAAGTGCAAAAGTATATCCAGAAATAAGTAAGAGTACTTTGGTTTTACTCTCCAACAGGCCTGTAACTGGGTTTCATTACTACCATACACAGGCATATTAGAGGGCACATTTCAAGCAGAAGGAGGTGAAGTAGCAAGCACAAGTTCACATAGTGTTATATGTAGATAACTGAACTGTGTGTATATATATATATTTATAAACTTCCTTATAAAATTTCTGGTCAGCTGGGCTCGGTGGCTCAGCCTGTAATCCCACGCCTTTGGGAGGCTGAAGTGAGTGGATTGCCTGAGCCCGCGGGTTCGAGACCCGCCTGGGCAGCGAGACCTCATCTCTACAATAAATCAAAAAAATTAGCCGGGCATTGTAGCACATGCCTGTAATTCCGGCTACTCGGAAGGCTGAGGCGGAAGGAGCCTGGCAGGTCGAGGCTGCAGTGGCTGGGAGCAGCCACTGCACTCCAGTCTGGGCGACAGAGTGAGACTCCAACTCAAAAAAAAAAAAAAAAAAAAATTTCTGGTCTAAGTGAATAAATCAAATTGTGGTTGTCACACCTTTGGACAAGAAAAGGCACAGTTGCCATGACGATGGCCGGGGGGCAGAGGCAGACTAAGAGTTTTGGCACATAATGAAACTAAGAACGTTCTGCCTGGGTAGAGGCAGGAAAACAAACCTATTAAAGCAATTTCTGCTTACAGAAACAAAGGCTGTATGATTACTATTGAGAAACAGAGACTTAAGAATGACTCAGAGAGTCAGAGAAAAATGAAAACTTAAAGCACAGAATGTTTTTCTGCTGTAAGGCTTTACCCGAAATTTTAGCCTAACTGTTTAAAAGGTTTACTTTCAAATAATATAAGCTTTTATGTCACATATACAAAGTGGTCACTATTCATATATTGGTACTACAGGTGTCACTGATGCTTTTATGTCAAAAGCAGATCTCCAACATGGACCTTCATAGGCCTCAACTGTATAGCCGTAGATGTTGGCTCCCAACACCTTAGAAATATTTCAAACATTTCTTGTAAAAGTACAAATCCAAGCCATTAAATTATAGTCACAGCCTCTTTCCCCTCATCCCTCTTTATTTTGGCTAGTCAGTTCATTAAATAAATTAATAAATGGCCTCTTTTCAATACAATGTCAGGATATCTGTCCTGCCTAATCAACAGGTTTTTCTCCTTTTAAAACTTCTGATACATGCTTGAGCATTTTACTCAGAAATGCAACAAATCAAGAGTCATGGTCTGAACAGAAGTAGTCATTTGGTAAATTTAGGGTTGCATAAACACCTCAAGAACTTCCTCAAAATAATCTCTCCCAAGAACATCAAACATCTTGAAAATCAAATTGTGTTTGCAAGTCAAATTGCTAACACCTTCTGAATACTCACATATCAAATTTTCCAATGACGTGAATCCCTTGGCCTATGAATTATAAAGGTTTCCCTAATCATGTTGCTGACCATCCATTAATATATTAAGTACTGACCAGGCTCAGTGGTGGCTCAGCCTGTAATTCCAGCACTTTGGGAGGCCGAGACGAATGGATTGCCTTAGCCCACGGGTCGAGACCAGCCCGGGCAACTTGGCGAGACCTCGAATCTACAATAAAAATAAAAAAATTAGCCAGTCATGGTAGCACATGCCTGTAGTTCTGGCCATTTGGGAGACAGAGGCGGAAGGATTGCTGGAGCCCAGCAGGTCAACGCTGGGGTGGCTGTGGGCTATGAGCATGCCACAGCACTCCAGCTTGGGTGACAGAGTGAGCCTCCAACTCAAAAAAAAATGTGTGTGTGTGTGTGTGTGTGTGTGTGTGTGTGTGTGTGTGTGTGTTATATATTTTGTTTATTTTAAAGCTGTAGTTGACTACAAATGATTTCTAAGAAAGGGAAATTATTTTATTAAATTTTTTTTGCCGAGTACAGTCTCAGAACAACTTGAGAAGTGTTACTTCAGAGATCAAATCTATATCTGTGTGGGAGATATACTCATTGCTCTTAACCCTTTTCAGAATCTGGCTTAGTACTTAATTATATATATATTAAGTACTAGGTTTGTTTTATTCTGTTGTCTGTGTTTTCTTTTTTTTTTTTTAACCTAAGATCTTTTGCTCCTCTTTTGTGTATTATGAATGATGATTTCTGACACTACCAAAATCGATTCATATACTTGTGATTTATCAACTATGAAAGTTACTTTCTGAATTTTTCACTCTGCCTCATGAAGTCAAAAGTCTAAAAAAAGGACTAGAATGTTCCACAAAGCATTGCATCACTTTGATTTGGAATAAAATCATGTTCACTTTATCTTCCTGTTTCTCTTTACTTCATCCACTGCATTTAGCATTAAAAATGTAAAATCCCTGTAACATGTCCTTCGGAAAATGCAGATAACAATGACGTTCTTCTGTGGCTCTCAAAACCAAAGAAAATGCCTGTCAAATGAATGGCTAATTGCAGACCTGATGTTATATTTCTTACAATCAATATATCTGTTTCTTTCTCATCCTTAGTCCAGATTTCAGATGTTTTATTTATTATTGCTTATTTTAAAGCTGTAGTTGACCACAAGTGATTTTTAAGAAAGGGAAATTATTTTATTTTTTTACAGAATACAGTCTCAGAACAACTTGAGAAGTGTTACTCCAGAGATCAGATCTATATCTATGTGGGAGATATACTCATTGCTCTTAACCCTTTTCAGAATCTGACTCTTTATTCCACAGAGGTATGTGGTGTGGCATGCATTCTTGTACTTTATATTAATATAAATAATTATAAATTCAGATATTTAAATTACTTTAGATGAATGCCAATACAACTTTTGCCTGTACTTTGAACAATTAAATAATTATTGTTAAATCATAGAGATAAAAAATAGAAAATGAAGTCAATCTGGGTGAAGTTTGTGAAGTTTTTTTCCAAAAGTGTGTGACAGAACGTTAACTACATTTAGCCACCGGTAACTGCTCTACATTACATATTATATTAAGAAACAGATAACTTAAAAGTGTATACTCAGTGTCTACTCTAGAGTTATGTACTTAATGTTTTCCTCTAAACATTATGGGAGAGTCAAAAGTGTAATTACATTGTTTATGTAGATAATACATACCTAATGGCTGTAAACATTATCATTTTTAGTCTAAATTTTCCTTTTAACATATTCTTCCCAAAATTTTACAGTTCATGACTGGTGATCTTTCCTTATACCCAAATGTGAAAAATCTCTTCAAAAATATCCTTACTAATGTCTAGCATAGGCTTGAATGCTTCATCAATAGGGAACTCATCTTTCATGGAAGAACTTTCTAAATTAAAATTTCCTTTTGACATATAATGGGCTTCATTAATATTACATATATGTTTTATGACTATGAGTATATGGGTATCTGTTATTGAAATCCTAATGGTTTAAATATAAAATACTATTCTGGAATTAAGCAAGGTTGTTTTCCATTTTAATTGAATTCATTCTCTTCTAACTATCTGAGTGCTCTAGAAAATTCCTTAATACTGTTTCTAATGGTTATTTTATATATATATAAATATATATCTGTAGTTTTTACCATCCTAAAATTTAGAAGAATAATAGTAAATTTATGAGCCTTAACTTATGTTTCAGAAAATTTAGACTTTAGTACAATTCTACTTTCAAATAAATGTGTGATCTTGGACAAGTCCAATGAGAGAATGTATGCTAAATTATGTGAAAAGAAAAAAAGTGGTGGTCATATGTCAGACACTACTAAATCCATGGAGTAGACAACAAAATGATACTTGATTGTCTTACTTATAAAGAATCCTTTTATTTAAATAAATAATAGTACTTTGAAAATTACGTTCTGATTTGGAAGTGGTATGCTGAATCTTTTAAATACCTCTATCAGAGTAATGTTAGATACGATTTTATATCATATATTTCTGGGCTGGAGGGTTATATTTTATATAATGGTGCATGATGTATGCATGTATGTATGTGGTTTATGTGTGTGACAGGTATGTAGTAATGTTTTGGTGGTATGAAACGGTATTTTTATTTGTTTTCTTTAAAAAATGGAGCAATATCTATAAATAACTAGTATTTAAATAAAAATAAAAGTACAAAACCCTACAAAACGTATTCTTTTTAACCTTTAGCATTCCAAACTGTATATTGGAGCAAAAAGAACTGCCAATCCTCCTCACATTTTTGCAGTGGCTGACTTAGGATATCAATCTATGATAACATATAATTCAGATCAGGTAAGAAGAGTCTCATGTTCTGAGAAATCTCCCTCTTAGTTTTTTATATGTAGAAATGTTGTGAGGATAGTCTTCTCATGATTTTCTTTTCTCTGTGCAGTGCATTGTTATTTCTGGAGAAAGTGGTGCTGGAAAGACTGAAAGTGCTCATCTTTTAGTTCAGCAGCTCACGGTGCTTGGAAAGGTATGATTTATTTTTTTTCTCTGACCTATCAGAAATATTTGTTGAATTTCAGAGCCTAATACAATTGATTAGATTAATATTCACTAATTCCTACATTTAATAGTCTACAGAAATTATGAAATCATTGAGAGTTTAAAATATAACAAACAATATGAAAAGCATATACCGTGTTTTGAGGATTTTCTACCTTTTCTCACTCTTATTAAGATAGGCTTTATAAATATGATTTTTCTTTCTTTTAGTTCCAGCACATTTGTTGAGTGTTTTCTTTACCTTCTATTCTTTTGTTGCTAGCAGGTTAAAAGAGAGTCAATATACAAAAAATCATTTGTATCTATATATCATATGTGTGTATGTGCTAGCAATGATGAATTACAAATTAAAACTTAAAAGTACCATTAACAACATAAAAAACCATGAAGCATGTAGATCTAATTTTTATCACATATATGCAAGATTTGATTGCTGAAAACTAAAAAAAGTTGATAAAAGAAATCAAAGATATAAATAAATGAAAAAATATATTCATGGATTAAATGACACAATATTACTAAGATGTAAGCCCTCCAGAAATTGATCTATAGATTTAATGCAATTACAGTAAAAATCCCAGCAGAATTTTTTTGGTGGAATTTGACAGGTTGAATAAAAAATATATATGGAAAGGCAAAAGAACTACAATAACCAAAAAATTTTGAAATAATACATGGTTGGAGAATTAATACTACCTGATTTTCAGATTCTCTATAAAGTTGCAGTGGTCAAGATAATGTGTTATTTATTTATTTATTTTTTTGAGTTGGAGTCTCACTCTGTCGCCCAGACTTGAGTGCAGTGGCCGCTCCCGGCTACCGCAGCCTCGACCTGCTGGGCTCC